AAGACTGACCATGGAAGGCAGGCGCTTAAATTTTTCGTATTCTTAAATAGCCTAATTTTTTATGTTTTTAATGGGTTCAAACAGACTGAGTAGATTATTTCTCGGTTAGAGCAGGATGAATATTCTTTATTGAATGAAATAATATTGCTTTTTGCAAATACACATCACCGTATCAACGCTACTATTTTGTTACGTTTTGTTCCAAAAATGTTGCATGTCTCTGGGGAGTTGCTTAAGTGTTATGTCTTATGGAGTTGTATGGTTTGATTGTGTTTCATATAATTCTCAGTTTACTCCATGAACTTGCCAAGATTAAGAAACGGCAAAAGAGTTTGGGTGTTCTTAACAAGATTTCAGAACGTTGCAGAAGTTAGAAGAGCTTCACAATTCCATTGTGACAGCATGCCCTAATTCTGAACTACGAACGATCCATGACGATCCTTCGCGATGCAGTGGTCTCATGAAATAAGGAAACGTATATATTCGTGCTAGGAACACATGCGGATTTCGGACGAATAAATCTTGTTTGTATTTTGTAGATAATAATACTTTGTTTCATAATAAACAATTTGTCAAGTGTCATTTATATTTACTGGTAATAGTGCATGTTTCAGTCGGGCAAATCTTGATTAATATTTGATACGCCGTGTTTTGCATATTTCAGACACATCCAGAAATATGCTCCCGATTTGAAACATTAATATCTCCGTGAATTTGTAAGTGAAATACAACTGTAATATATCAAAATCTAAGTTAGTCCTTCCTCTATTTGATGCAAGTTATTTCTCTTTAAAAGTTTTACCTGTTTAGAAGTTATTAGGAATCAAACCGGAGTACTTTTTTTTGGGACACCCGGTATATCTTTAAATAAATTTCTAGAGTGCTGTTGCACAATCTGGCGTAGTGCTGATAGAGAATCTGAGTTACATCGGTAATGTTAAATTTGCGGATTTATTCTCTCGCGCGGGTGTCCCTATCTCTTCCCGCTTTCTATATATAGATATAGATAGAATACTTTATTTGAAAAGCATAAGCTTGGTTTCTTTTGTAGTGACTCAGTGTTATGTGTTATGTGAGGGTACTAATCAGTAATCATACTATGGTTCCTCACAAAATAATCCGCACTATATAGTAAACCTGAACAAATCATTTAGGCACTTGAACACCAAAATGCATTTATGCATACTTCCGCGAGTAGCTAAATCTACCCTAAACCTAAATTAATAACTAAAATCTGTCTCAGTAGTCAAGAATGTCTTGTCTGCAAACCATCTCGATACACGATTGCTATTACCATAGCAGACAACGTGATGGCGGCAAGGGTAAAATATACCCCAACACATGTATCAATGGACAGCAGTCAGCACACTTTCGAAAAATTTGTCAAAATGACACGAAAAATAACTCGACCGCGTGTTTTGTGGCTTAGGCCATCATTTCAATGGTAGCAAATCCAATGATAGCTTTCAAAGTCCCGATTATATATATATATATATATATATATATATATATATATATATATATATATATATATATATATATATATATATATATATATATATATATATATATATATATATATATATATATATATATGCTACACCACTATCAGTTTCTGAATAAATTCGATGGTGTTCTGCAGTTAACCTAAACCCTAACCGTGCAAACCATGTTCAATATGTTCATAGTTTTCTGATCCTTATATAAAAGTAGTCTTCGCGCGTCACCGAGCTGTCCACTGTTATTTTTGTTCATTTGGTGACCCAAAAACTTTGCGCTAGTTAAAACGTTAAAATTCCCCACTGGCACATAGCTCCTCGAGAAATTATCCGCTCCTTTTTTAATTACGCGCGACCCGCTCTTTTACCCGCGATCCGCTATCCGCTCCAAATAGATATACTCCCATTAGGGGATGACAGACAAAAAAAGTTCGACATTTCCGCCTTGCATGCGCTCACACAGAACGCGTGAAAGTTGTGAAGCTGGATGGAATACAGTACAATTAGCCGTAGTGATTCCTCGTGTATAAACACCCTGTCGTGTCGCGTGTGTGAATATAACCTCAGTTCATTATAAGGACATGTTAGAAATATTTAACTTTTAATTTTTTTCTTCACTCTCTTTCGTAGTTCATTCTTTTGATGTATTTTTTGAAGAATCTTTTGCCTTTTTCAAACAGATACATTCCACCGGCTTTATGTCAAGTAGAATCGCAATATCAACAATAAGTTCAAGCAGCTCTAAAAGTTTTGGTTTTTAACCAAAAGCAAATTTTTTTGCGAACCTATTCTAGGTAGCATATTTTTAATAAGCTGAAAATCAGTTTTGGGGTTACGGGCACTTTAATACTCATTATATTTGCTATCTTAAGGAGTTGAAATTAGAGCAGCTTATCTTGTGAATGATTCTGGCAGTTGATTAATGTAATGTACAGCAACGATTTAAAGTCTCGGTCAAACGAGAGTGAGAGTTGAAACTTTTGCTTGCGTTTAATTGCCATGCAATTCTCATCGACTCTCAGGAACTGTCATCAATTTGAGCGTCATATCTCTGTCAACTATCATGCAACCCTTTATCTCGTTCCGCAAACTTTCGTTTGCCAATTCTCATCCACGTGTTAGAAACTCTAATGGAAATATTCCATATTTAGGGCCACCCAGTATTCCAGTGATGCCAAAACTCATCTTAGGTGAGGATAAGGTAACAGTGAAATGGGATGAAGTCATGGGAAGCCCAGATTATTATTTCGTAGACATTAAAACAAGGAGCGAAAGAATGTGGACTCGCTCTCTGAAGCAAGGAACAACAGAATTGAAATTTGTAATACTCAGTATTATTCCTGGAAGAATATACAATGTGCGAATAGTAGCTGGAAATAGGCATGGCGATGTAGAAGGAGAAGTTGCTGAGGTACTTGTTCCAACCAGCAAACGTAAGTATGTGTTCACTCTTCTTTAGAAATCAACAAAGGGCCTTTCCCTATTGATCCATTGTTACTATACTAAAGACGACTTGAAAATGGCGTCAAAATGGCGTTGCATATCCATACATGGGCACAACACGCCATTTCACGTCGTCTTTGACGTCCACGTCCTCGATCGAAATCTCAGCTATTGTAGGAATTAAACTTCAGTCGCAGAGATCAAAAGACAGATGTACTAATTTCTCTACCACTAACACCCCATTCATTAATTAATTGACTTAAGCACTCTGACAGTAACACACAGACGGCCGCCTTGCTAAACCACTCTGGTAGTAACACACAGACGGCCGCCTTGCTAAACAACTCTGACAGTAACACACAGACGGCCGCCTTGCTAAACCACTCTGGTAGTAACACACAGACGGCCGCCTTGCTAAACCACTCTGACAGTAACACACAGACGGCGGCCTTTCTAAACCACTCTGACAGTAACACACAGACGGCCGCCTTGCTAAACCACTCTGACAGTAACACACAGACGGCGGCCTTGCTAAACCACTCTGACAGTAACACACAGACGGCCGCCTTGCTAAACCACTCTGACAGTAACACACATACGGCGGCCTTGCTCAAACACTCTGACAGTAACACACATACGGCGGCCTTGCTCAAACACTCTGACAGTAACAAACATACGGCGGCCTTGCTCAAACACTCCGACAGTAACACACATACGGCGGCCTTGCTAAACCACTCTGACAGTAACACACATACGGCCGCCTTGCTAAACCACTCTGACAGTAACACACATACGGCGGCCTTGCTAAACAACTCTGGTAGTAACACACATACGGCCGCCTTGCTCAAACACTCTGACAGTAACACACATACGGCCGCCTTGCTAAACAACTCTGGTAGTAACACACATGATACGGCCGCCTTGCTCAAACACTCTGACAGTAACACACATACGGCGGCCTTGCTAAACAACTCTGGTAGTAACACACATACGGCCGCCTTGCTAAACCACTCTGACAGTAACACACAGACGGCGGCCTTGCTCAAACACTCTGACAGTAACACACATACGGCCGCCTTGCTAAACCACTCTGACAGTAACACACAGACGGCCGCCTTGCTAAACCACTCTGACAGTAACACACAGACGGCGACCTTGCTCAAACACTCTGACAAACACACATACGGCGGCCTTGCTAAACAACTCTGGTAGTAACACACATACGGCGGCCTTGCTCAAACACTCTGACAGTAACACACATACGGCCGCCTTGCTAAACCACTCTGGTAGTAACACACAGACGGCCGCCTTGCTAAACCACTCTGACAGTAACACACATACGGCGGCCTTGCTCAAACCATCTGACAGTAACACACAGACGGCCGCCTTGCTAAACCACTCTGACAGTAACACACAGACGGCCGCCTTGCTAAACCACTCTGACAGTAACACACAGACGCGGCCGTCTTGCTAAACCACTCTGGTAGTAACACACAGACGGCCGCCTTGCTAAACTACTCTGACAGTAACACACAGACGGCCGTCTTGCTAAACCACTCTGACAGTAACACATAGACGGCGGCCTTGCTAAACCACTCTGGTAGTAACACACAGATGGCCGCCTTGCTAAACCACTCTGACAGTAACACGCAGACGGCGGCCTTGCTCAACCACTCTGACAGTAACACACAGACGGCCGCCTTGCTAAACCACTCTGACAGTAACACACAGACGACCGCCTTGCTAAACCACTCTGACAGTAACACACAGGCGACCACCTTGCTAAATGTTTGTTTACATTTGAGATATTTATTCAATTTATGCGGAAGAGCGCAGCGGAGATTTCATGAGATAGCATGGGCGAAGCTGGTCAAAACGCTCTTTCTTGTCGTGCAATGACAAGTGTAATCTAGATCAATGACTGAAACGGGCTTTCTTGTCGTGCATGGCGCTAACTGTTCATTGCTAAGGCAATTTGCATTCAGCCTATGGTGACCATGACCAGGGCCTATCAGAGACATTCGGGGGCCCGGGGAAATTTTTTTTTCGGGGGCCCTATATATTTTTTTCTCAAAAATGTTGGCGAGAGGGGGGGGGGTAAAATTTTTCCCGGACATTAAAAGAAAAGTCAAAAAAAAATTTTCCGCACATTAAAAAAAGGGTCAAAAAAATTTTTCCGGGGCAAATTGCCCCCTCTGCTCGCCTCCCCACCGCCTCTGACAGGCCCTGAACATGACACCATAATTGCTGGTCAGTAAAAATGCAAAATGTTCAGGACACACACTTTTTTATTTAATTGGGCTTTTCACCATATGGTACGTCTGTAATAATGCATACCGAAATAATGAAACATTTGGGGTTCTATTGGCATCTATGCAGATGTTTTACAAACAATAACAACAAAAGAGGAAAATTAGTCGTGGGGTTGTTGACACAATGTAGTGCCAACAGATGCCTCTACATTCGGTTGAGAGTCTTCCATGTTAGGTCTGGTCACAGAGAGACATTAATGGTATTCCACACATTACAGGACTAATGGTCAGCGGCAGAAATTCACTTTTCCGGTGGGGTGAGGGGCAAAGCCTTCTAAATTTCCAACAAAACTTTTTAATTTCCGACCCCCCCCCCCCCCTTT